TGTCTGCCACAGAGGACAGGCCAAGAGGCTGCAGGGGAGTGGGGTGGGGGCGAGGGGGGCACAGTTTCTAGCAAATATTGATCAAGTCTTGGGCGAGGCCTCGGAGTGGAATGTGGCGGGCAGGGCTGGCTCTTTAGGGCCAAGATAAGGACCCGGGGGAGCAGACGGGTCGGATTTAGTAACTCCTCCTGCGCCAGCCTCTGGCCCTGCACCTCAGTTTCCTGTCTGCAGAATGGGCTCTTGGAACCCGCGGGGTGGAGTCAGTGGTGTCGGAGTGGGATTAGTTCCCGGCTCCTCTTCCCGCCCATACAGATGTGATTCCAGACCTGGGGCGGCTCAAAGGGCTCAGAGCACTGTTTGTTTGAGGGAGGGTCTGGCTCTATCCCCGGCACTACGGGAGCCCCCGCAATGCACCACCAGGAATGACACCCACCTACCCCAGCACTGACCTGAGAGTGGCCCCTGAGCCCTGCCAGCCGTGGCCCCAAAACCAGTAAGAGAGAACTGTGATTCCAGGGATAGATACGGCTGCGCATGTGAGTGGCCCTGGGCTCCGTCCTAGCACCTGGCACCCCTGAGCACCCTCGGGGCCCGCCATGATGGGGTGCATGACTTAAAAAAAGAAAGAAAGAAAGAAAGAAAGAAAGAAAGAAAGAAAGAAAGAAAAAAGATTCTTTGAGTCATCTCTAGTGTGTGTGGGTTTGGAGAGGTGGTTGAAATTTTTTTATTATTTTTTTTCATATTTGGGCCACTTTCAATGGTGCTCAGGGCTTAACTCCTGGCTCTGGACTCAGGGATGACTCCTGGCAGTGCTCCGAGGGACTATATAGGAGGCTGGGGATTGAACCCGGGTCAACCATATGTGAGGCAAATGCCCTCTCTGATGTACTATCTCTCCAGTCCTGGTATGTATGCAATTTTAATTTTTTTTTAATTTTATTGGGGTTGGAGAGACAGCGGGAAGGGCGCTTGCCTTGTACACAGCCAGCCCAGGTTCCATCTCCAGCGTCCCATAGGGTCCCCCGAGCACTGCCAGGAGTGATCTCTGAGCAAGGCCATGTGAGGCGCCAAAACAAAAAGTTTTATTTATTCTGTTTACAATACTATGAATAATGGAGTCTCTTGTACATAATTCAAAACCACACCCAGCCCCAGTGGGCCCGCTTCCCTCCTCTCCTGGAGAAGATGACCCGACGCCGTGGTTTCTGTCTTCCCTCCCCCTACCCACCCCAGCACCCAGAATGGGCCCCAGGGCCTCTGGCAGCCCTGCTGGAACCTGCTTCCAACAGGGCAGCCGGGGCCAGGGCCGTGGGGCTAGAGCCATCCGTGGCAAAGGAGAGACAGGTGAGCCTCAATGATTATTTAACCTGACAGCACCCCAGGCTGTCCTGAGGCGACCTACAGGCTGAGGGACCATGCAGATGGTTGAAAGGGGAGAGCGGAGTGATAGCACAGTGGAGAGGGCATCTGCCTGGCACACTGCTGACACGGGTTCCATCCCCAGCATCCCACAGGGTCCCCCAAGCACTGCCAGGAGTCATTCCTGAGTGCAGAGCCAGGAATAACTTCAGATCATTGCTGGGTGCAACCTCAAAAATAATAATAATAATAATAATAATAATAATAATAATAATAATAATTTAAAGGACTTGGAGCCCAGGCTTAGCACGCGGGACCCCCACTCTGATCCTGGTCACTGCATAGCCCCCGAGCCCTGCCAGGAGTGACCCCACCCTCATGAAGAAATTATCCTTTTTACTTAATTTTTGTTTTGTTTTGTTTTGTTTTGAGGGGCTGCAGATATAGTACAGTGGGTAGGGCGCTTGCCAGCCAACCCAAGTTTGATCCCTGGCATCCCGTAGGGTCCTTTGAGCCCCATCAGGAGTCATTTCTGAGTGCAGAGTAGCCCCTGAGCATCGCTGAGTGTGGCCCCCCGAAAAAAAGTAAATCAAAATAAATTTTTGGTTTGGGGTCACCCCTGGTTATGCCCAGGGGTTCCTCCTGGCTCTGCACTCAGGGATCACTCCCGGCGGGGCTCAGGGGACCCTAATGGGATGCCGAGGATCAAAGCCAAGTCTTCCTGCATGCAAGGCAAGTGCCCTCCCGGCAGTGCTATGGCTCTGGCCCCCCAATGATCACTTGAGGGGCCAGTTTCTGGGCCACACACAGCCATGTTCAGTGGCTACTCCTGCCTCAGTGCTCAGAGCAGTGTTTCCAGGGCCACCACAGGGTGCCGGGGGCTCAGTCTGGGTCTTGTGCCCTGGCCCTGCGGCTCTGCGGCTCCCCAAGGACTCAGGCTGCCTCTGGGTCCCGGGCACTGCTGGCAGGAGCAGGAGGGGGGGTCCCCAAGGGGGGGGGGCCTGGGGCAGGATGATAGGCCTGCAGACCCCATGTCCCCCAGGGTCCCGCCCCCCAGGGTCGGGCATGGAGGGAGAGCTGAGACCTTGCCCCAGAACCGGACCTGTGGCTCAGAAGGCCCCCAGGGACCCAGGAGGCAGGTCAGGCTGAGAAGCCCAGGACTGGGGGCAGGGGGTGTCACTCAGGGAGGGTCACGGCCTGGTCACATTCCCAGGCCAGGCGCCAGGTCACCAGACACCGGCGCCTCCTGGGAGACTCTTCTCTCTGTGCTCTCCACGGCGGGTGTCTGGTTCCACAAACTCTCAGCCCCGCCTCCACACCCACCTCCTGCCACCCCGACAACCATGTCCTGCCCTCCCGGGACCCGCCATCCGGTCAGGCCAACTGACTCATGCCACAGCCTCCCCTAGCCCCCATCTCGGACAGTGAGGTGCCAGAGTGGTCAGGGCTGGGACTGGGGAGACCCCGGGAGCACCTGGTCTAGTCTGACAGTCCGGGAGGGCTTCCTAGAAGCGGAGGCGCTGGGCAGATGAGGAGCAAGCAGAGGGCAGCAGGTGCCGAGTGGATGGAGGATTGGCAGCGAGAGTTCCCAGAGTCACGAGGTCTCTGTGGGACCAGCCTGGGGTTTGTCCTGGGAGGCGCTGGGGAGCAACAACAGGTCCTGAGCACTGTGGGCAGGGTGGGGGCAGATACCAGGGAGGAGCAGCAGAAGACAGGGCAGGTGGGGGCCGGGAGCAGAGCAGGGGCCACAGGCAGGGTGAAGCAGGCACCTGGGGGTGGGGAGGCATGTGGGGGTCCTGGTCGAGTTGTGCCGCAGGGCTGGTGTGAGGCTTTGTCCAAGGAAAGGTGGGGGGTGGGCCGTCCCTTATCAGGGGTGGGAGGGAGAAATAGGGTCTGGAGGTCAGTTTGGGACAAGGTGAGGGAGACGTGCCAGGGACACCAGGGAGAGGCCCGAGTGACACCGGATAGGGGCGGGCAGAGGACAGGAAGGGTGAGGCGAGGCCAGGGCACAGGGGCTGGGGGGACCCTCCCACTCCCCAGCCCCAGCCAGCAGGGGCATCTCAGGGCAGGAGCTGACCTGGTCAGGTGAGCGGAGGGCCAGTCCCGGGGAGGGTGTGGGGGGGGATCAAAGAGCCCATTTGTCCAGAGCAACCTTCCCGGCACCCCCCCCAGCCTCCCAGTTTGACCCACTGAAACATCACACCCCCCTTACTTAATCCCCCCTGGGGGTCTTCCTCTCCCCAGTGGACTCTGAGCTCTGTGTCTGGGCTGCCTCCCACTCCCTGCCCCAGGAGGGTCTCCCCAGCTCCTGGGGGGCAGTGGGGGCCCCTCCAGGGGGTCTGACCTCACCTGGGGGTTATGGGGGTCCCTCAGGGGGTCTGACCTCATCATGGGGTGTGAGGGCCCCTTCATGGAGTCTGATCTCACCCTAGGGGGTGTTTGGGGCCCCTTCAGGGGGTCTGACCACACCCTGGAGGTGTGGGGGCCCCTCAGGGGGCCTCTGACCACACCCTGGGGGGTGTGGGGGGCCCCTTCAGGGGGTCTGACCTTACCCTGAGGGTGTGAGGGTTCCTTCAGGAGGTCTGACCTCACCCTGGGGAGTGTTTGGGGCCCCTCAGGGGATCTGACCTCACCTGGGAGGTGTGGGGCCCCTCCAGGGGGTCTGACCTCACTGGGGGTTATGGGGGGGTGCCCCCACCTTCAGTCCCATCCCATGGCGGGGACACAGAGGCCCGGGTGGGAGCAGAGGGTCGGCCTCGAGCACTGGTCATCCGGACAGTGAAACCAGCTGGAGCAACGGTGCAGGCTGAGCCCCCCAGGATGACAGTGGAGGTGACCCTCCCCCCAGGAGCAGAGAAAGTGACCCTGGAACCAGCATCGCTATGGCCATGGAGCAGGACCAAGAGAGGGCATGGGGCCTTGCCGGCTCGATCCTCCACACCTCGTCTGGTCCCAAGTGACCCTGAGCACAGAGACAGGAGTAAGCCAGGAGTGCTGCAGAACACAGCCCCCATGGAAACAAAGAAACAGTCCCAGTCCCCATGGAAACAAAGAAACAGTCCCCACTCCCTGCAGGAACTGGGCAGGTGAGAGCCTGGCCTGGTGCCTCAGTTTCCCCAACTGCTAACATAAGGCCCTGACGGCATCTAGGATCCCCTGGATGGCCCCAGCAGAGAGGTGGGGACGCCAGTGGTCACTAACCACGGGATCCTTCCTCAGTGACCCCCCCCCAAACTCACCAGGGGATCTAGGGGGAGAAACAGCCCAAAAATCTAGCCCAGCCCCTCGTCCCCCCTCCCTGATAACCTGGTTCTTTAGCTGGTATGAGACTGGGCTTCGGGCACAAAGGAGGTCGGGCAGTGCCCCAGGAGGCCGGGCTGGGTCGTGGCCCCTGGCCGGCGCCTGCCACGCCCACTTGGGTGCCCACACGGGGCCCCAGATCCCGGCGACTCGATCCCTCCAGATTCAGATGATCTCCCCAGGCTCCCAGCTCCAAATCACCAGACCCGGCTGGTCCTGCACCAGACGGAGCCCAGAGCCTGCCAGGAAGGTCCCAGAGCCTCGGACGCCAACACCCCCATCTCCGAGACCGAGTCAGGACGCCGACACCCCCATCTCCGAGACCGGGTCAGGGGTGCAGCATGGCCCCGGCCGGGTGCAGCTGGCTTCTCCTCAGTGGTGAGCAGGAAGGGACCCCCCACCCAGAAGCTCAGCCCCCCAAGCGTCCCTGGAAAGGGAGGGACCAGGCTAGATGAGGAGGGGGGACGCAGCGCCCCGGCTCGACCCGAGTATCATAGAGGTGAGCTGGGGGTCCTGGGGAGCAAACCCCCATTTCTCCTCCATGCACACATTGAGACCAACCTCACGCCCTGGTGGGGGTGGGGGACACCCACCTTCTCTTCCTTGGCCTCCAAAAATGGGTCTGAAGCCCCAGGCCTCCCCACGCTGGCAGTGGGCATTCTTGCCCTTCCTCTGCACCCTGCGTTCTAGAGGCTTCTGTGCTAGGAGCTGGCACTGGGGGAGGGAGGGTCCCACTGTGACCCTGGTTTTAGAGATGAGAAAGTCGGGGTTCAGGGAGGGGAAGAAAGGTGGACCCAAAGGGCAGAACTGGGCCCCAGGTCCAGCGGCCTCCCCCAGGGTGACCTCACACTATTCTGGGCTCGGGGCTCCGTGTGTGAGCAGACGGGGGTGCATTTCTCTCCTTGTGACAGGGCCGTAGAGGATGGGAGCCACGAAACACGGGGCTGTGTGGCAGGGCTGCGGGGAGCTGGTCTGACACCCCCACGTGGCCAATCTGGTGGCTCTGCAGTCAGGAAACCCCAGGGTTGGGGACTGCAGGAATGTGTGGGTCCCCCACAGTGTCTGTGAACCCAGGACACTCCCCAGGCCCCTCGACAGAGACCCCCACGCCCAGCCGCATGCCAGGGCCTGCTCCTCCGGCGGACTGGGGTGCGGCCCCCCCTCAGCCCCCTACCCCCACCCCTTCCTCGCAGCTGCCTTCCTGGGCGCCGGGGCGGAGATCCTCATCACGCCTGAGCCGGCCCAGCCCGCAGAAGGCGACAACGTGACACTAGCCGTGCAGGGCCTGGCCGGGGAGCTGCTGGCCTACAGCTGGTACGCGGGGCCCTCCCTCAGCCTGGCCTACCTGGTGGCCAGCTACATCGTCAGCACCGGCGACGAGACCCCCGGGCCCGCCCACACGGGCCGTGAGGTGGTCCGTGCTGACGGCAGTCTGGACGTCCACGGGGTCCTGCCTGGGCACTCGGGCACGTACATCCTGCAGACGCTCAACAGGCAGCTCCAGACGGAGGTGGGCTACGGACACTTGCAGGTCTATGGTGAGAAACACCTCCCAGGACCCCCATCCCAGACCCCAGTGGGCGCCAGAGAGAGAGGGGGTTTGGGCTAACTGCAGGCTTGGCACGGGGGGACGCCCTGATTCCTCATGCACCTCAGGAGCAGACCGAGCACAGAGTTGGGAGCATCCCCCACCCCACTCTCTGCCCGCTCTCAATTTTAAAATTTAAATCAAAACCATCCAGGAGAGAAAATACATCTGAAATAACTCTTGAAGTGCTCACCTCCTTCAGGCTGGCCTCCAGGATGACACCCGCCTCTTAGCCACCCGTTCTCTGCCCCTCTGCCTGGGGGGGATGGGGGTGGTCTCCAAGGGTAATGCCAGGATGCAGCCCTGGCCTGGAGGGGGGGAGGCCCCGGGAACAGGCGGTGCCCGGCCCCCTCCCCGTCTCTTGCCCCACAGAGATCCTGGCGCCGCCCGTGGTCCTGGCCAACAGCACGGAGCTGGTGGAGCGGAGGGACACCCTGCGGCTGGTGTGCGGCAGCCCCAGCCCCGCCGAGGCCCGCTGGTTCTTCAACGGCGAGGCCCTGCCGGTGGCCCTGCGCCTGGGCCTGTCCCCCGACGGCCGCGTGCTCACCCGGCACGGTGTCCGGCGGGAGGAGGCGGGCGCCTACCAGTGCGAGGTCTGGAACCCCGTCAGCGTCAGCCGCAGCGAGCCCCTCAACCTCACCGTGTACTGTGAGTCCCGCACGCCCCTGGGGAAACAGAGGCTGGAGAGGGCATCCGGGGGTGGGGGGGGCAGCCGGCCAGGCAGCTAGGGGGCAGCTGTCCCGTTTGTGGGCGCTTGGGTTTCTGGACCAGGCTTAGCAGTGTCTGGGGGGCGGAGGGACACTCCGTGCTGGGACCTAACCCGGCCAGCAGAGCCTGCCCAGCCTTTCTGCTCCTGTGCTGCCCCTGGGGCCCCCTCCCTCTAGTCCCACCGTCTAAAGCTCTGTGTGAGGGCTGGGACGTGGCTCCACAGTGCAGCCTTGCACGTCTGGGGCCGTAGGTGCGACCCCTGGCATTGCAGGAATAAGTAAAGATAAGTAGAATCTCCAGTTTGGGAAAAGTAATAAACAGGAACTGAAGGGGTAGTACAATGGGGAATGTGCTTACTTTGCACACAGCCGTCCCGGGTTCGATCCCCGGCACCCCATAGGGTCCCCCTGAGCACCACCAGGAATAGATCCCTGAGCGCAGAGCAAGGAGGATCCCTGAGCACCAGCAAGTGTGGCCCCCCAAAGAACAAGAATAGATAAAAAAAAATAGAAAACCATAATTTTTTTTAAAAAAAGCCCTCTCCAGGGCTAGAGCGATAAGACACAGCGGGTAGGGCATTTGTCTTGCATGCCCCCAACTTGGGTTCAATCCCCGGCACCCCATAAAGTTCCCCTGAGCACCACCAGGAGTGATTCCTGAATGCAGAGCCAGGAGTAAGTCCTGAACATCACGAGATGTGGCCCAAAAAACAAAGATAATAATTAAGTCCCCTCCTCTGAAGTGGGTGAATCCTTCCCTCCAAGCAGGATTGCAGACACGAGGGCATTGCCCCCTCACCCACCCTCCATCCTAAAAGGGAGGTGAGTGGAACTGAGAGGGAAAATGATTTTTGCTTTGGGGCCACACTCGGCCATGCTCAGGAATTACTCCTGGTGGTGCTTGGGAGACTCTTTGGGGTGTCGGGGATCGAACACAGGTCGGCGGCATACAAGGCAGACGTCCTCCCTGCTGTACTATCTCTCGGGCCAGGGGAGATACTTTTTAAAGAAAAAACATCAGTGGGGCTGGAGCAACAGGGCCAGGGCAACGTGTGTTTTCTGCATGTGAGAGGTCCGGTCCCCCCACCATGTGAGATCAAAACAAACAAACAAAAATCTCAGCCAAACTTGGGTACTCCCCGGGAAACGCCAGGGACACAGCCGCAGGGCAGCTCCAGGGAAAAGTGTATCGACGAAGGTCCGCCAGGCCAGAGCTGTCCCCAAACTCCGAAACTTCTTTTCTATCGCCTGGAAATTCTCAGTTTAAGAGGCACCGGATCTGAGAGATCCCGGAAACTCGAGAAGCAGAAAGTTCTGGAACCGCCTCAGGGTTTTGGGGATTGGGAAGCTGAGATTCCAGCTCCCCACAGCACTGACACTTACACTCTGAGAGGCCATCCAGGCTGCCGTGGGGGGCCGGGAGTGGGCTTAGCAGGCAGGGGTGCAGGCACGGCCTGTGGGAGCTCCGGTGTCCACTCCCAGCACCGCTGGAACTGATGAAGCCTGAGAAGCTTCTAAGCACCGTCAACAGTGACCCCCCCAACACCCCTTGACTTAAAAAATCCAGTTGTGAGCCTTTTCTGGTTCCTCAGCATGATGATTGGGTGACTTGCGTCTCCCTGAAAATCTCATTACGCCTTTGACACATTACCCATCTGAAACGAACTTAAAAAAAAATAAATAAATAAATCCAGAGAGAGTATACAGTGGGTGAAGATGCAGTCCCGAGTACAACCCACCTGGCTCAATGCCCAGCACCCCACAGGATCCTCCAAGTCCCCCACCAGGAGTGATCCCTGAGCACAGAGCCAGGAGTAAGATCTGAGCATCACTGGGTGAGGCCCGCCCGCCCCCCCCAAAAAATAATAATAATAAAGTTGCACTGTTTATTTATTTTAGGGTTTGGGGCCACACCCAGCAGTGCTCAGGGCTTACTCCTGGCTCTGTGCTCAGGAATCACTTCTGGAGGGGCTCGGGGGACCCTGGGGGGTGTCAGGGGTTGACCCCAGGTGGGCAGCGTGCAAGGTCCGCGCTCTCCCCACAGTGCTGTCGCTCTGGCCCCTGTCTGGTTATTTAAGAGGACAGACACACCGAGAGATTCTGAGAAGGGGATTCTTCCAATCCCAGAGCAAGGCAGAGGCGGCTGAGGGGTCCCGGCGGGTGGAAAGCAGGCTGGGGTGCCCACCTCGACGGCCCCCTCCCTCCCTCCCTCCCTCCCTGGCCCTCTTCTCTCCCGCTGCCCCCCAGTCGGGCCGGAGCGCGTGGCCATCCTGCAGGACTCCACGGCCCGCACGGGCTGCACGCTCAAGGTGGACTTCAACGGCTCGCTGACCCTCTACTGCGTGTCTCGCTCCTGCCCCGAGCCCGAGTACGTGTGGGCCTTCAACGGGCGCGCCCTGAAGAACGGCCGTGACCACCTCAACATCAGCAGCATGTCTGCCGCCCACGAGGGCACCTACACGTGCATTGCCAAGAACCCCAAGACCTTGCTTTCGGGGTCCGCCTCAGTGGTGGTGAAGCTGTCTGGTGAGTAGCCCCCAGTTTGATACCCCAGCCAGCCAGCCACAAAAGTCCAGGGGAACCCTCCAATACATGACTGGAAATTAGAGATCTTCCTTCTCCTTTTTTTTGAGGGGAGCTCACTTCCGTTGGTGTTCATGGGTGGGCCTTAGGTCCTGGAGTTCAACCCCAGGGCTCCTACATGCAAAAATACCCTTTTGCTTAGGGGCTACACCTGGCGGTGCTCAAAGGTGACTCCTGGCTCTGTACTCTGGGATCACTCCTGGTGATGCTCGGGGAGTCACAAGGTGGCCCGGGAATAGAACTTGGGTGGGCCACATGCAAGAGCCTCACCCACTGTGCTATTGCTCCGGCCCCCTCCTGGCGTTGGCATTTTCTCTTGGTTTTTGGGCAATGCCTGGCTCTGAACCCAGGGATTACTCCTGGCGGGCTCAGGAGACTCTATGGGCTGCAGGAACCCAAGCCCGGGAAATGCCCTACACACTGTACGCATTGCACTGTTGCTCTGGCCCTGGACCTGCGCTCTGAAAGAGACCTGAGACCCAGTCACAAGCCAGGGGACAAAAGTGGCCTGTCTTCAGCCTGGGAACAAACGCAGGTGGCCTGGGTCACCAAAGCCACAGCCCAGGCTGTGCCCAAAGAAGCTCTGGCTGCATCCCAGCACCGCAGCATCCCCTGAATGCTGAAGGGAGCAAACCTCGAGCCCTGGGTCAGGAGGGGCCCAAACATCGCCCCCAGAGGAGATCCGCCACCTGATGTCACCTACAAGACAGGGGCAGAGGAGGCCCCTTGGGGTGACATTGGCCTCAAGTCTGTCACCAGCTGCTCGGGCCGCCGGCCTTCCCTTCCACCCACAGCTGAACTCACTGGAGCTGACTGAGCGTGCCCACGGCCTCGTGCGCCCTGAGTCTGCACCGGCCTCCTCCCCGGGAGGCAGCGAGGCCATCCTCAGCACCCGCCAGGTGGAAGCAGCTGGTGTTTGCGAGCCGGCCATCCTCAGGGGAACCAGCTCCTCCCCAGGGGACGGTGGTTTTGAACCTTCCGCGGATCACATTCCGAGGTTCCGGCCCACGTGGCCACGGTACCCCAGGGACAGTGAGGGCAGTCCCGCCGGCCGAGATCCCTCCTCCCTCTGACAGGCTGGGTCTCAGCCAAGGGGTGGATCCTCCTCCCCCTCCCCACAGCAGAAATGCGGCCCCCAGAGGTAAGTGTCTGCTGGGGCGTCCCCCCTCCAGGCCTGGCTGCAGCTCCTCCTACACCCCAAGACCCACCCAGTTCTGCCCTGCCTCTGCCAGCCAAGGGCAGGCGTGCACGTCTGTGCAGGCAGGTGTGCATGGATGTGCCTGTATGTGTGGGCAGGTGTGCAGGTATGTGCAGGCAGGTAGGTGTGCATGTATGTGTGGGAAGCAGGTATATGTGTAGGCAGGCAGCAAGTGTGTGTGGGTGGGCTGCATGCATGTGCTGGCAGATGTACATGTATGTGCTTGTATGTATGTCTCCACATATACCCCTCCAGGCCTTCCTCAATGGGAGGGGGAGAGATGACCAAGAGGGACAGAGGAAAGAGAGACGGATCTTCCTCCACCTGGAGGAAACATCTCTGATGGAGGAGGAGGGGCGTGGCCCCAGGCCCGCAGCCTTCTTGTGGAGGGGCCTACGGAGCGTCCTGCGCTCCATTCTGATGGAGGAGACATGGTCTGAAGGAGACATGGTCCTTTTCTTTTTTTTTCTTTCTTTTTTTTTTTTGACAATTCCTAGTTTGCTGGGGGAGTCGCCTTTGGGGTACTCCTAATCTGATGGGGGAGTACAGGCTCCCCCTCTTTCTAGGAATTTTCTGCTAGGATAGAAGACACACCCTCATCCAATTTATGGGGTTTCCATTCCAGTCATCTAGAATTTCCAATCTGATGGAGGAGACATGCCTCCCACCCCACCCCGCCTTCTGGAATTTTCCACTGATGGGGAATGACAGCCCCCCCCCACATTCTGAGGTCTCTTGCTCTGGGGTACACAACTCCCACCTATCTGATGAGAGCAACAGGACCCCCCAATCTGATGGAGGAGACACTCCAGGGCCACAGGGAGGATGAAACCCACACCACGTTGAAGCCCAAGGCTGGGACACAAAACTCACCTCCACCAGCAGCACCCTCACCTCCTTCCTCTGTCTCCTGCGGGCACCCTGCATAGGGGAGGCGCGCCCGCCCGAAGGGGCAGGCGGGGTCGCGTAGGACGCTGCCCAGCTGGCCCAGCGTTCCGTCCCTCTCTCCCCAGCGGCCGCCGTGGCCATGACCATCGTTCCGGTGCCCAGCAAGCCCACGGAGGGTCAGGATGTGACGCTGACGGTGCAGGGCTACCCCAAGGACCTGCTGGTCTACGCCTGGTACCGCGGGCCCGCCTCCGAGCCCAACCGGCTGCTCAGTCAGCTGCCCTCGGGGAACTGGATCGCCGGTCCCCGCGCACACGGGCCGCGAGGTGGGCTTCGCCAACTGCTCGCTGCTGGTGCAGAAGCTGAACCTCACCGACGCGGGGCGCTACACGCTCAAGACCGTGACGCTGCAGGGCAAGACCGAGTCCCTGGAGCTGGAACTGCAGGTGGCACGTGAGTGTGGGGGCGGGCGGGCGCTGCAGCGAGGGTGGGTGGGGGAGGGGCCCTCTGCATGTGCGCTCCCCAGGGGTCTGGCCTCCCCAGCACACTCCCTGGGCCCCCTCCCTCTCTCCCCTCATGAACACTGGCTGCACCTGTAAAACGGATGGCATGGGCCGCCTCCATCAGACCAGAGCCCCGGGCCCCATCAGTGCTCCTAAGGCTGAAGGCTTCGAATGAGAGGTGTCATCTAAGGGCAGGGTGTCCTTTCCCCGGAAGATTGGGGGACCCTAGCACCCAGGAGATGCTGCCTCCTCTGCTCTTGGGGAAATTAGCTCGGAAAGACACTGCCTCCCCACCAGACCAGAGGATAAGTAAGCATGAATCTGGCCTCCCTCTTCAGACAGGGGGAGTCCTAGAAAATGAAGATCTGTTTTGTCCTTTGCATTATAGGAGTAAGGACTGAATGTCTACGGTCAGAGTTTCTGGAGTTTCTCCAAATGGAAATAAGGACAAGCTCCTGAGTAGGAGGCTCTTAAGAACTGGAATTGTATGTCCTTAGTCCATAGAGTTTCCAGCAGTCGAAAATAATATCTCTCCCATCATCCTGGGAATTCCCAATGCTGAAAATCACCAAACTGGGAGTTCCCAGAATTAGGGACCATGTCTCCTCCATCAGACTGGGAGCTCCCAGAACTAGGGACCGTGTCTCCTCCATCAGACTGGGAGCTCCCAGAACTAGGGACCATGTCTCCTCCATCAGACTGGGAGCTCCCAGAATTAGGGACCATGTCTCCTCCATCAGACTGGGAGCTCCCAGAATTAAGGACCATGTCTCCTCCATCAGATGGGAGCTCCCAGAACTAGGGACCATGTCTCCTCCATCAGACTGGGAGCTCCCAGAATTAAGGATTGTGTATCCTTCATCAGACTGGGAGCTCCCAGAACTAGGGACCATGTCTCCTCCATCAGACTGGGAGCTCCCAGAATTAAGGATCGTGTATCCTTCATCAGACTGGGAGCTCCCAGAACTAGGGACCGTGTCTCCTCCATCAGACTGGGAGCTCCCAGAACTAGGAACTGTGTCTCTTCCATCAGACTGGGAGCTCCCAGAATTAGGGACCGTGTCTCCTCCATCAGACTGGGAGCTCCCAGAATTAGGGACCATGTCTCCTCCATCAGACTGGGAGCTCCCAGAATTAAGGACCATGTCTCCTCCATCAGACTGGGAGCTTCCAGAATTAGGGACCATGTCTCCTCCATCAGACTGGGAGTTCCCCGAATTAGGGACCATGTCTCCTCCATCAGACTGGGAGCTCCCAGAATTAGGGACCATGTCTCCTCCATCACATGGGAGCTCCCAGAACTAGGGACCATGTCTCCTCCATCAGACTGGGAGCTCCCAGAATTAGGGACCATGTCTCCTCCATCAGACTGGGAGGTCTCAGAATTAAGGACCATGTCTCCTCCATCAGACTGGGAGCTCCCAGAATTAGGGACCATCTCCTCCATCAGACAGGGCACTCTCAGAGCTGACATCCCTGGGCACAGAGTGGACATCCCTCTCTCACAACTGAAACTTTGGGGACCTGACACCAGGTTCATGCTCCGCCACCCCAACCAATCCCTGGGTTTCTGGGGCAGCTGAGGGCGGGGGCACGCAGGGGCCGTCCCGGGGGCCCCAATTCCTTCTCACCATCTCTCTCCTCACAGTAGCCTCCCTCCCTCGCTCCATCCACCGACCAGCGCCACCTCCTGCACCTGACCGTGGCACCGGCTGAGCGGGGCGGGCGGGCGCCGAGAGCAGGGGGGAGGGATTACAGAGGGGGGGGCCAGGCCCTCCACCCGCTGACCCCCACTCTCCCCACCGCCCCCCCTCCCCACAGCCCTGGAGTAGTCGTGCTGGAGTCGCCTGCAGACGTGAGCTCTTTGCACCGAGGCTGCTCAGGCCTGGCCCGGGGTCACCCTCCCCGCCTGGAGCTCACCCTGCGGAGCTGCTGGGCCCTCACCGCCCGCGCCGCGTCCCACCGAGCCCACCTGCTGCTGCCCGCCCTAGCCAGAGCGCATGAGTACACGGATCCTTCCAGCGCTGTGCGGGAGCCCCGGGGGGGCATAAACGTCCTAGTTAACATGCGTGTGTCAGCGCCTCCTTGCACCCCCGCCAGGCCGCCTCTCCAACCCAAGACCCCTCCCTCTGCGTGGGTGCCCCGGCAGCCCCCAGGTCCCCCAGTTTAAAGCAGAGCGGCCTGCGCCCCACCCCTAGCACCGCCCAGGACAAAGACCACCTGCACTGGACACCAAACAACCATGGTCCATGCCCTCCCCACTGTCCCCTGGCTCTGCCCCTGACCCCTGAAGGAAAGCTGTGTATGCCCAGCCAGGGGGACGACTGTTTCTCAGGAACTCTTCTAGAACTTTCTGGCCCACGTTGCCCAGGGTCTCAATTTCACTGATTCCCCATCCCTGCCTCACCCCCAGCCACCGCATCCTCTGTACAATCCCAAAATAGCTCTCCTGTAACCAAACACACACACACACACACAGGGGTTGCAGGGCTGGGGAGTCAGGGGCTGGCCCTGTGACTTCTCTCCACTGGCCAGGCCTAAGCCGCAGGCTCCACCCAGCCCAAATGCCCCACTAGAGAGAAAACGGCCATTACAAGGAACAATGGCAGGGTGCTGGCTTTAATGCCAGGCACAAAAATAAATAAGAAGGAATGCTGGGAAATGCAGGGTCAAGAATGGAGAGAGAAATGACTCTAGGAGGGAGAATGGGCAGATTTTCAGACAGCAGTGGCTAATCTGGGACGTGAGTGTGGACCTGCACCATCCCCCACAGCGCTGGGACCACTGTCCTACAGACGGGCTATCACTGCTGCTAGAAGACACGTGACTATGGAGAGGGGCTGCAGATGGCCAAAGCCACACCAGGAGAGGCAAAATAATAGCCTTCAAATGCTCCAGTGCGGGGGGCCAGAGCAATAAGCCCAGCAGGTAGCATACTTGCCTTGCACACAGCTAAGCCGGGCTCAATCCCTGGCACCCCAAGTGCCACCAGGAGTGATCACTGAGCAAGAATAAGCCCTGAGCACCACTGGATGTGACCCCAAAACTGAAAAACTAAACTAAAGCTGGTACTCTGTAAATGTTGAAACAACAGACAAGTTAGATGCTTGATAAATATAGATGGATAAATATATACATATATGTATATATATATAATATGAATCCTCATGTATAGAGCCAGAGGAAGCCCTGAGCACTGCTGGGGATGCCCCTCCCCAAAAAAATAGAGAGGAAGGAAGGAAGAGAAGAGAGAAAGTGGAAGGGGAGGGAGGGAGAGAGAAAAGAGAGGAAGGATGGAAGGAAGAAGATGAGAAAAGAGAGAAAGGAAAGAGATAAAGAGGAAGGAAGGAAGGAAGGAAGGAAGGAAGGAAGGAAGGAAGGGAGGGAGGGAGGGAGGGAGGGAGAGAGGGAGGGAGGGAGGGAAGAAGGAAGGAAGGAAGGAAGGAAGGAAGGAAGGAAGGAAGGAAGGAAGGAAAGAAGGAAGGAGAAGGAAAAGGAAAGAGAGGAAGGAAAGAAAGTGAAGACAGAAAGAAAAAGAAGGAAGGAAGGAGGGAAGAACAAATGAAGGGACAGAGAAAGGGAAGGAAGGGAGGAAGGAGGGGAAGGAGGGAGAGAGAGAAGGCCGAGGCGGGGGGTGGGGGTGGGGGGGTTCAGGGGCTGCTGCCAGGCCTCCAAACGCCTCCCTCCAAGCTGGGAAAAATGTCTCACGTGTCCTTCAGCGGCAAAGGTGGGGAGAAGCTAGTGGGGGGGGGGGTCAGATGGAGCCACTTTGTGCAGAATGAGGCCACCGGGAGGGGCGGGACGGGGAAGGGGGCAGCTTGGGTTTCAGGTTTCTAGGTCAGGGATCCCATATCCTGGGGCGTGGGGGCTCAGATATCCCCAGATGTCCTGCCTCCCTCCTCACTGGCCGCCCCAGAATCCGCCCAACCTCTCCTCACCCACCCAACTAAGAACAGCAATTACCACCCGCCGCCCCAGAAAACACAACTCAGGGTCACTCTGGTCCTCAGCTTTCCTCTGAGGCCGACACGCAACAGGCCACCCAGGCCCCCTGGACCCTTGCAGCTGCCCAGGGCCGCAGGGGGGCAGCCCTCAGGGGTAGCCCCCTCCCTCCTTTGCTGGACAGGCCACTCTGAGCTGAGTGTCCGGCTCCAGGGAGCCGCGGCGGCCAGCCGAGAGAGCCCAGAGCCAGCCCCTAAGTGCTCAGTTGGGGCTTCTGACCCCACTTCAGCGTCTGCCACAAGGGCAGATGGAACAGCCCAAAAATAACCATTTTTCTGTAAGGCCTTCCTGGGGGATTTCACTGACCGGACGACAGAGGTCAGCCTCCGTTCATGGGACACAAGGGGACCTTGAAGAGCGCGGCCCGCTGAAATGACTTGCAGGAAAACGAGCAAAGGGAGAGTAGAACCCGCAGGGCGGGCCCTTGCCTGGCACAAGGTCAACCCAGGTTTGGTGTCTGGCTCTGCACTGAGCCTTCTGAGCACTGAGCCAGGAGTAAGCTCTGAGCACTGCCAGGTGTGGCCCCCAAAACAAAACTACATAAAATAAAAAGTGCATAGGGACCCGGAGGAATGGTAGAGTGGGGAGGGGAGGGGGGGCGCCAAGCAATAGGACAGTGGGGAGGGCTCACAGCCTTGCTCCCAGCCACCCCGGGTTCCATCCCCAGCATCCCATAGGGTCTCCTGAGCACAAAGCCAGGAGTAACCCCTGAGCATCATCGGGTGTGACCCCAAAACAAAAACACAAAGTGCTTAGCTTACACTATTCTCTGCTGGCCAGTTGTGGGGGTCCCAGACCCAGGGACCGTTGACCGGAAACAGAACCTGAGACACAGGGACAAGGGGACCTGCCCAAGGTCCATGTCCTGGGAGTGACCCCAGGCCCCCCCCACCAGCCCCTGTCACAAAGCCCGGATGGTGCCTGAGGGCCTCGACTGCACTCCAAGAGGGTGGGGCCCCACTGAAGGAGGCCCCCTTCCTCTCCCCGTGCCCAGAAACCTTTTCTCAAGTCGCCCCAGGGTTGCCCCAGGGCAGGAGCGGGCAGCAGTGACCTCAAGGCCGTGTACACAAAGGCCCGGGGCAGAGGGGGGAGAGGAAGGAAGCTGCCCTGTCTTCCTGCCCAGGGCCAGAGTGTTGACTCAGGACCCAGAGGGGAGGGACTGCAGCTGCGGTGCCAAGGCCAGGGCTGGGAGCAGGCAGGGCCAGAGAGGGTGTCCCAGCACCCTGAGGTCACACAGACGCAGGGCAGCACGGCAGGGGACAGCCAGGGGTTCCCTGGGGTCCCACCTTCAGAAGCAGGTGCCAGCCCGTCTGTGGGGCCCTGGGACCTCTCCCAGGAGGCCAGGATTCGGCCCCTTCCAGGAGCAAAGTCGGTTTGGGTTTCCCACCTGGGGCTTTGCTTTGGCTTTGGCCTTTCTTTCTGCCTGGAATGTTCTTCCCCTAGACCCTTGAGCCTTCCTGACAGGCAAGTTTCCAAGCAGAGGGGCCCCCTGAGCCCCCTCAGCATTCCCTGAGGAACAATTCCCACATTGTTCTTTTTTTTTCCAAAGGGAACCCATCCATTGGTGCTCACAAGCTACTCCCAGTCTGATGCTCAGCCCCATTCCCAGTGGTGCTGAGGGACCATGTGGTGCTGGGGATGGAACCAGGCCTTCTGCATGCAGAGCCTGGGCTCAGACCACTGAGCCACTTCTCCGGCCCCAAGTCAACTTCTTTCATTTCATATATATGTAAATATGGCCCCAGTCCCACCATCTTCCTTCTCTGGGTCATGGATAACCCAGTTCTCCTCCAGGGGTGAGTGATTACTCTGCCACAGGGGGTCCTCCCCGTGCCCGCAAGAGGCCCAGAGACCCACTCTCAAAGACGTCAAAAGCACATCATCGTTACCCACAGCACCCCTGCCCTATGGCCCACATGCACGGCCCACCTGGGTGCTCTCCCAGGTCAGCAAGGGGGCTGGAGCAGTCACGGACTGGGGAGGGCGTTTGCCCTGTATACGGCTGACCTGTGTTCAGTCCCCAGGATCCTATAGGGTGCCCTGAGCACCGCCAGGAGTGATCCCTGAGCACCACTGGATGTGGCCCCACCACAAAACAAAACAAACAGACAGACAAAAGACTCAGACATCAGTGAGGTTGTGCTGGGCTGCCCAGGGCTGGGTTGTCCAGGTTCACTCTGGGCAGCTGAAGGGTCTGGCGCTGGACCTCTGAGGGTGGGCAAACCATGTGAAGTGGAGGAGGAGGAAATGGGAGAGGAAGAGGAGGAGAGGAGGAGGAGGAGGAGGAGGAGGAGGAGGAGGAGGAGGAGGAGGATGTAGAAAGGAGGAAGAGAGGGAGAAGAGAGAAGTTTACAGGCTTTGTTGGTCTCCTGTCCACGGAAGTGACTGTCACCGCGGTGAGGGGGCGGAGGGCACCCGCACCTTCCCAGGGGCCCCATCCCAGAAGTTTGGGTGCTTTTATTTATTTATTTATTTATTTTTGCAGGGGGCCACAACCAGCTGTGCTCAGGGCTCATCCCTGGCTCTGAGCCCAGGATCACTCCTGGTGGTGTTCCGGGGACGGTATGAGGTGCTGGGGATGGAACCCAGGCTGGCCGCTGCAAGGCAAGCGTCCTACCTGCTGTCCTGTCACTCTGGCCCCCGAGCCCGAGGACACAGCCGTGCCCACTGTCCGCGACACCCCCAGTGGCTGTGGCGCCTGTTTCCTCTGGGCTGCCCAGAGCTGGGAAGTCCCGCACCAGGTGCCAACACAGCCGTTTCCTTCTCTGCCCCCCTTCCCTGGCACTTGGTTGGCCTCTTCTTTGGGGCCCTAGGGTGGGGGGGCAGGGAG